CGACGGCGACCTCGCGGAGCTCCGCGACTCGGGCCTGCGCCTCGGCGTCTCGACGCACTGCCTCTCGGAGCTCGCCGTCGCCGCGGCCCTCGCGCCGTCCTACGTCGCGCTGGGCCCCGTCTTCGGGACGACGTCGAAGCACGTGCCGTTCTCGCCGCGCGGCCTGGACCTCGTGTCGGACTGGCGCGCGCTCGTGCCCGGCGACGTGCCCCTCGTGGCCATCGGCGGCGTCACGCTGGAACGCGCGGCGGGCGTCCTCGACGCGGGGGCGGACGGCATCGCCGTCATCTCCGCGCTCCCGGAGGACGGCCTCGCCGAGGCCGCGGCGTCGTGGACCGCGCTCTGGGACAGGTAAGGCGCGCCGTTAGGACATATCCCGCCGGCGGGATACGTTAAACGCCGCTTCAACTTGACCGCCGGCACGGCGCGGCGAGGTCGCGCTGGGCCCACCTCCGGTGCCGCGCGAGCCAGCGCGCGCGCACGGCCCCGCCGACGATCTCGAGGTAGGCGCGGTTGCCGTGGAGGGCGCGCGACATGCCCGCGTCGACGACGACGGCGGCGAGGTCCGGGCGGTGGCGGACGGGCGCGCAGCCGCGGCGCCGCTTCGCGTCGCACGCGGCCGCGGTGTGGCCGACGACCTGGACGAGGTGCTCCGGGAGGTCGTCCTGGTTCGCGGCCTCGAGGACGCCAAAGTCGGTCCAGAACGGGCCGCCGACGCCGGCGCCGCCGCGGTCGGGCCCCGCGGCGAGGAGCGCGTCGCCGAAGGCGCACGCGGCCCGGCCCGCGCAGGCCTCGACCTCGACCGCGAGCCGCTCGTTGACGACGCGCGCGAGCGCCGCCGCCGACGCGCCCCGCGGCGCGCCGAGCGCCGCGAGGACCGCGGGGCGGAGGCCCGCGTGCGTGAAGAGGTAGGGCCCCGCGGCGTGCGCGGCCGCGACGGCGCCCGCGCGGTGCTCGTCCTTCCAGTCGGCCACGGCCGCGGCCCGCGCCGCGTCGCCGTCGTCGGCGTGCGCGTGGTGGAACCGGCCCTCGGCCCAGAGGAGCTCGTGGTTCCCCGCGAGGCGCACGACGCGGCCGCCGGCCGCCGCCGCGAGGCGTTGCAGGCCGCGGAGGCAGTCGTGGGCCCGCGCCCAGTCCGGGCCGTGGCCGACGACGTTGCCCGTCTGCACGAGCACGGCGCGGCCGCCGCGCCACTCGTCGCAGCGCCGCTCGCCGACGAGCCCCGCCGCGCGGAGCGTCGCGATCAGCGCGGCCGCGTCGCCGCGGACGTCGCCGACGACGACGACGCGCGGGCCCTCGTAGGCGGCGATGCCCGCGCAGGTGCCGTCGCGCGGCAGCGCCGCCGGGCCCCCGCCGAGGTCGCCCCACCGGACCTTGGCGACCACGGAGAGGACGACCGTGACGAGGAGCAAGACCAGGGGCATGTTGTGCCTGTCGAGCCGCAGCTCCAAGGGCTTGAGGGCGTCCCGCGACGACCCGTCGTCGGTGCGGCGCGCGTTCATCGGGCGCATGCTCGTCCTACGACGGGCTGCGGCCGAGCATCACTGCGCCGCCATCGACTCCGGGGGGGGGCACGGTGCCACCGTGCACCGATGATGCATCGATGCAGCACTCCACGATGTGGGCTGCCCGGGGCCTCGACGAATAAAGCCGTCGCTCTCGCTCCACGGTTCGCACGTCGCGTCTCGGTAGGCCAGCGCCGCGTCTCGTCGTCGCTCTCGCTCGAGAGTTGCTCGGGCGCCGCACGGCGATGGACGGCATCCGCGGTCCCAGCCGAAAGGGGCCGCCCGGCGCTGGGAACGCTCGCGGCCGCCCGACGAGCGCGGAGCGCCGCACGTGCGCGGCCTGCGCGCTGTCCAAGGTCAAGTGCGACCGCGCGCTCCCGTCCTGCGGCCGCTGCGTGCGCCTCGGCCTCGCGTGCATCGACGCGCCGCCGTCGCGGCGCGGCCGCGCGGTGACGCTGGGCCCGAAGACGCTCGCGCTGCGGCAGCAGCCCGCGGGCGCGTCGATCCCGTCCCTCGGCGGCGCCGTCGACGCGACGAAGCTCATCCAGGAGGTGGCGACGCGCGGCGGCGCGCCCGCGCTCGAGCACGTCCGGGAGTGGCTGCTCGTCGCGCTCGCGCGGGGCGGAGCAGGAACAGGGGGATTCAAAGTCGCTTCAACGTGAGAGTTCCGCGCGCGATTGTTCCAGAGAAAGGATCCACGCTTCGAGAGCGCTCCGATAGATCATCGCTCGTCCAAGAATTCGCCGAAACGAGTGGAACACGACCGCGATAGGAGAAGTTGGGAATTTCGCGCTCTTTTCCCGCCCAGGCGCGCGGCTCGACGACGCTCTTCGCGCGCGCGGCGCTCATGGCCGCGCAGGCGCGCGCGCCGCTCGCCGAGGTCTTCGCCGTCGAGCCCACCTACGCGGGCGAGTTCGCCGACGTGCTGCCGCCGGGCAACCCCTTCGCCGCGCGCGCCGCGGCCGTCGGGGGGCCCGACGGCGACGCGCCGCGCGCCGCGAAGCGGCCGCGCGGCGGCGGCCCCGACGGCGGCGCGCCGCGGCGCCGCGCCGACGAGAGCACGCCGGCGCTGCGCGCCGCCGACGCCATCGCCGCGGGGTTCCCGGCGTCGCTGCCCGCGCCCGCGCGCGCGCTCGTCGGCGACTACGGATCCGCGCTCGCCAGGGCAGGAAAAGAGTGATTCAACGTCGCTTCAACGTGAGTGTTCCGCGCGCGCGCGTTTCGGAAACAGCACCCACGCTTCGAGAGCGCTCCGAGAGATGATCGCTCGTCCAAAAATCAGCCGAAACGAGCGGAAAACGACCGAGATAGGAGCCTTTGAAGTTGGGAATTTCGCACTCTTTTCCTGCCCAGGCGCTCGCGGTCGTCCGCGTCTGCGTCGACGGCGCCGTGCGCAACGTGCCGACGCCGGCCTTCGCCGCGCGCGTCTGCTCGCGGGCGGCCATGGACGCCGTCTACGCGGACAACTCGCGCGTCGTGCCGTCGCTCTACCACGGCGAGGCCGCGCTCGCGGCGACGGCCGCGGCGATCGGCCGCCTCCACGCGGGCCTCGCCGAGGCCGCGCGCGCGCGGCCGAGTGCGGCCGCGCCGCTCCACGCGACGGCCGACGGCGGCCGCACGGCGCTGCGCTGCGAGGGCGGCGCGGAGATCGCCTGCGACAGCGAGTGGGCCATGAGCTGCTACCACGGGGGACGCGTGACGGTCATCGCGACGCTCTTCCGCGAGCTCGCGGACGGCGCGCCGGCCCTCGCGCCGCTCCTCGGCGACGCGGATTTGGAGCGGGAGCTCGCCGCGAGCCTCGTGGACTTCATCTAGGACAACAGTAGGAAATTAGCGTTTCTTGCCGCGCGACGACGCGGCGCTGAAGAGGTTCGCCGCGGTGACGCCGGAGACGGCCCGGCTCCGGCCGCCCTGCTTGCGCGCGCGGACGTCCGCGTGCGTGATCTTGGCCTCGACGGGGAAGCGCTCGCGGAGCGGCGACAGGGAGCGGCGCAGGGGCCCCGGGAGCATCTTCGAGAAGGAGTCGAGGAGCCAGCGGATCGTCCGGTTCCGCTTCGTCGACGCCTCGAGCTTGAGCTGCTCCTGGAGCAGCTCCTCCGCGGCGTCGTCGACGACGCGCTCGCGCTCGCGCTCCTCGGCCTTCTGCGCCTCGCAGTGGCGCAGGAACTCCTCCGCGGCGAGCTGGCGCCGCCGCGTGCGGTCGACCTCGCGCTGGACCTCGGCCTCCTCCTCGGCCTTGACGCGGCCGTCGATGGAGTCGAGGAGCTCGTAGGGCACGTGCGTGTGGTCGCGGCGCCTGCCCTTGTTGTGGTGCTTGCGGAAGCACCGCGGCTTGCCCATCCACATGCAGTAGACCTCGTCGCACTGGACGCAGCGGATCTCCGGCCGCCGGCCGCAGACGACGCACTTCGTCGGCAGGTCCGGGTCGAGGCCCATGGACGCGGCCTTGGCGCCGCCGCGCTTCGCGCACGTCGCGTCGTGCTCGAAGAGGACGCAGGACTCGCAGAGCCGCGTCGCGCAGAGCGTGCACTCGTCCGTCGCCGCGCGGTGGCCGCAGCACGCGCAGTAGGCCGCGGTGTCGTCCGCCGCGTCCAGGGGCTCGCGGAGCTCCTCGGGCACGTGCTCCGCGCGCTTGCCCGTCGCGTGCGCCGCGACCGCGCAGTCGTCGCAGAGGTCGTCGGCGCAGAGCACGCAGTGCTTCCGCGCGACGTTCGCCTCGCAGAGCGCGCAGACCGGCGCGTCGGGCCGGTAGCCGACCCAGGCGTGCTTCGCGCGCGCGCCCTTGGCGTGCGTGTCCTCCCAGCACGCGGCGCAGTAGTCGTCGTTGCAGTCCTTCGCCTGCGCGTCGATCGTCGCGACGAGGCACGTGTAGTACCTGGCCAGGCGCAGCGTCTCGGGCACGTCGTCGCCGCCGGGCGCCTTCTTGTCGCCCATGGCCTTGGCGCACGCGCGGTGGAGCTCGCCCGCGCGGTCGACGGACACGGGCACGCCCGCGGCGCGCAGCACGGCGCGCAGCTTCGACGCCGTCAGCGCGGTGACCGTCGCGATGCCCAGGGACTGCTTGCCCGCGGCGGCCTCGAGCGCCTCGCGCTCCCGGTCGTGGGCGGCGCGCTCGAGGCGCGCCTCCTCGTCCTCGCCGTCGCCGCCCGCGGGGTTCGCGGCGTGCTGGAGCATGTACTTTTGGACGATGTGCTGGCCCCGCGGCTGGAGCACGAGGCCCCGGCAGCGCCGCGTCGCGACGTCGGCGCAGACGCAGCAGCTGAGCGACGGCGCGGT